GCTACCCTCGTGCTTAGTCCTCAGTCATGGAAGCCCCAGGTGAGGCCTCCTAGTGAAACCAGACACCTGCCTAACCGTGGCTGGGCAGAGGGGCTGCTAGGTGACTCCTAGCCCTTTGATTTACAAGCACGTTTATCTATTCTGAGCATCGGTTTCCTCCTCTGTAAAGAGGGGTGATATTAATCCCTGCTTTGCTGAATGGCTTTGACATAAAGTGCTTAGCACATAAGTAAGTGCTCAATAAATGTCAGCTGTCATTGCCACGAGAAGCAGCAGGGAGCTGGCCAGGGCCAGGCTATTCTTTCAGGGCTGATGTCCAGTCTCCATGCACGGGGACAGGGTGGGGCATGGGGAGCACAGCAGAGGAGGCTGGAGGCCCGTCAGCCACACTTTGAAAAAGTCATGCAAAGTTTTCACTGGCCCCCAAAGCATTAATTTGCAATAATATCTAATACTCATTTAGTGCTTCCTATGGCCTGGGCACTGTGCTGGCACTTTATGTGCCTTATATCCTTAATGTTTTTAACAGGTCTGCAGGTTTGTACCATTATGAGACGATCATTTTAAAGGTGAGAAGAATGCATGTCGGAGAAGTCAAGCGACTGATCTAAAGTCACTGAACGCGTTTAGGAACCCGGAGACCCTGCATCCCCTCTCCAGAATGACTCAAATTGTGGGCACAGGAGACAGGATTTCCACACCCCACCTGCTACCGGGAAGGAAGCAGCCAGCGTCCTGAGCCTGAGGCTGAGGCCATAGGGTGTGCGGTGGCACCGGGAAGAGCAATGCCCGCTGTAGGCCTGACTTCGGCATCATTTTTCTGGAAGCAATATGCATTTTGCGCATTTCTTTCTGCCTCAGTTTTCCCATCTGTAAACTGGATTTTAACTATTTGCCTTCTTCACAGAAATATAGTCAAGCTGGAAGAGTACTTTCAAAACCCGCCCAAAAGACCTGGGTAAAAGTCCCTATGTAGCAATCGTCTGCCTCGTACACTAATGCTGGCCGAGAAAGGATGGAATTTCAAACTAATCATGGAAACAAACTGTGAAACATCATTCAAATGTCCACATTCATTTATAACTTCCCCGTGTCTTAAGTATTTACTTAAACAATGAACAGTCACCGTAGACACTAAACCAGGGGGCTCAAATGACAACGGGTGGGTTGGGGGCAGCGTGAGGAAGCAGGCGTGGCGGACGCCCGGGAGACCTGCTCCCACACACTCCGCGGCACACCCCTGTGGGGTCTCTGTGAAAGGCCAGGAGACGGCTTTTGAAAACCACGTCCTTGGTCGTGCCTCCCCCACCTCTCTCTGGGCGCTGCTGCCTCAGCCTGTACACCCCGTGGGCTCCTCTCCTCCCCACCGGAGGAAGACAGTAGATGCGCACGGACGCGCATCCGCTCTCGTTTGGAGAAAACGAACGGCAGAGATGTGCTGTTAGTACTCAGCTCATATTCCTCAGTTCAACCTGACAAGATCAAACCTCGGGCAATGATGTTCACAGATATCACCACAGCTCTGAGATTGTAGGTCGTTACTTTTTTTAAAGGACAGATTCATTGAGATATAATTCACATACCATACAATTCACTCATTTAAAGTGTCCAATGCAGTGGTTTTTAGTATATTCACAGTGTTGTATTAATATAACCACCACCACAATCAATTTCAGAACACTTTCATCACTTGTAACCTTTAGCAGTCACCTCCCATTCTTCCCAACCCTCTCCGACTCCCAGCCTTACACAACCACTAATTTACTTTTTGTCTCTACAGATTTGCCTATTCTGGAATTTCATACAAATGAAATCATGCGATATGTAGCTTTTGTGACTGGCTTTTTTCACTTAGCACAATGTTTTCTAGGTTCATCCCCGTGTAGCATGTGCCAGAATTTCCTTCCTTTTTATTGTTGAAAAATATTCCATTGTTCAAATATATTCCATTTGTTTTATGCCTTTATCACTTGATAGACATTTGGGCTTGTCTTAGTCAGTTTTGTGCTGCTACAATAGAATACCACAGACTGGATAATTTATAAAGAAGAGAAATTTATTTCTCACAGTTCTGGAGGCTGGGAAGTCCAAGATCAAGGCCTCAGTGTCTGGTGTCTGGGGAGGGCCTTCTTGTTGTGTTCCTGGAGGGGAGGAATGCTGTGTTCTCCCATGGCAGAAGGCAGGAGGGCAAAAAAAGGAACAAACTCTCTCTGTGAAGCCCTTAATAAGGGCGCCTTCATGAAGGGAGGAACCATCACAACGTAATCCATTTTTAAGGCCCCACCTCTTAATACCACCACATTGGCGACACCTGGATTTTGGAGGGGATACATTCAAACCACAACAGGGTCGTTTTAGCTTTTTGGCTATTGTGTACAACAGTGCTATGAACACTAGTGTACAAATTTTTGTGTGGACATAGGCTTTCAATTCTCTTGGCTATACACCAGTAGAAATGTTGGGTCACATGGTAACTCCACGTTGACCTTTGTGAAGAAACGCTAGACCGCACCCTTTTACATTGTCACCAACAGTGTATGAGGGCTCCAATTTCTCCACGTCCTCACCAACACTTGCTATTGTCTTTTGGGGGGCAAAGTATGTGGCTCTGATTTGCATTCCCCTGATTATTAATGACGTTGAGCATCTTTTCATGTGTTTATTGGCCATTTGTATATCATCTTTGGAGAAATGTCTATTCAAACCCTTTGTCCTTATCTCAGTTGGATTATTTGCCTTTTTTTTTTTTTTTTTTGAGACAGAGTCTCACTCTGTTGCCCAGGCTAGAGTGCCATGGCGTCATCCTAGCTCACAGCAACCTCAAACTCCTGGGCTCAAGCGAACCTTCTGCCTCAGCCTCCCGAGTAGCTGGGACTACAGGCATGCGCCACCATGCCCAGCTAATTTTTTCTTTATATTTTTAGTTGTCCAATTAATTTCTTTCTATTTTTGGTAGAGACGGGGTCTCGCTCTTGCCCAGGCTGGTTTCGAACTCCTGAGCTCAAACAATCCGCCCGCCTCGGCCTCCCAGAGAGCTAGGATTACAGGCGTGAGCCACCGCACCCGGCCCCCGGATTATTTTCCTTTTTATTATTGAGTTGTAAGAGCTTCTCACATATTCTAGATAAGACAGTCCCTAACAGCTATGATTTCCCAGTATTTTCTCCCATTCTGTAGGTTATCTTTTCACTTTGTCAAAGGTGTCCTTAGAAGCATAGAGGTTTTAAATTTTGATGAAGTCCAACAGGGCTATTTTTTCTTTTGTTGCTTGTGTTTTTTGGTGTTAGACCACTACTTCTTGTAGCTCCTTAGGTGTTGGGTCTCTGTCCAAGGTCATGCTTGACCCCCTAGGCTATTTCCTACCCTGTTTCTGCCCTTCACACCCTAAGCTTTCTCTCTCTCTCTCTGGCATCAAGATTACCGCCCACCCCAGGCATGCATCTAGTCAAAACCATCCTGATCTTGTGGTCAAGTCCAGTTAAAGTCTTCTGCCTGCAGTGCCTCAGAGCATGGCTTCTGAGGCTGGACTCCCTGGATGTGACTCCCAGCTCCACCACACATGGGATAAGCGATCTTGTATGAATAGCCTTAAACCTTGATAAGCTCAGTTTCTTCATTTGCACAACATTATGAAAATTATAGAAAATGATTCATGAAAAGTACTTAGCCCAGCGCCTGGTACACCATAAATAATAAACGTTTGCTGCTCCTATAATGCTGCTGTTTCATACCTTTGCAGAAATGCCTGGTTTTGTAGCTCCAGGAATCCTGGTTCCTCTCTTCTGTCTGTGGTCAGTAACACTGGCCGCACTCTGTCCCCACTGAGTTATCTGCCATTCTGCTTTGTCTTGTTCCCTGCTCACCTAGTGGAACAATGCCTCGTCCCTGCCTTGTAGACCATCACTCTTGCCCCGAATCTAGTTCTTCATCTAGACTCCATCTTCAGCTGTCTGTCTTATCTGGCATATCCGTCCAGTGGTTACTGAGAAGCACTCACAACTTTAGAATCCCTCCCCCCAGGCTCAGCGCTCCACCTAGTCCAGTGTAGCCCCCTCCTCTCCATGGCCTGGCTGCCTCTTCAATACGTCCATTGAAGGCTTTCTGGTTCACACCTGCCCGCCCCCTCCCCTCCCCTTACTGCCTCTCCTCTACTCCACCCTTCTCTCCTCCTGTCCCTCCCTCCACCTCCTGGCAACTTCTCACACACACCGGGTTTATGCCCACCTTAGGGCCTCCCCCTAGAACTTCCCTCTGCCCACAGTATTCTAAGGGCCTCATCTCCTTCAAGTCTTTGCTCAGATCTCACCTCTGCAATGAAGCCTGTCCTCATTACCCAGTTAATACTGTAACTTTCCCACCCTTCGCCCACGTGGCCATGCCTAATCGCCCTTGTCTACTTTAGGGTTTCTTTTGTCTATAGCAATTATCATCTTCCCTCTCTCTGCACAATTTACTTCTTTGTCATTTACTACTTAGATATTTTTAAAAACTCTATAAGGATATAAGCTCTAAGTGGGCAGGGATCTGTGCCACTTTATTCTCTGACACAGCCCAAATACCTAAAGCAAGGCCTACTGGCTGCTGGGCAAACATCGGCTGAGACGGCTGAATGGTAACTTGCATTTCTCCGATGTCCTCATATGAACATCCTCGTATGATTACTGGCTGCCCTACACGTTTATGCTTCTGTGAGTTGCCTGTTTCACTTTTTTGTCTATTTGTCCAAGTTTTCTTTTTTATTGATTTGTAGGAATTCTTTAGATTTCCATGACACTCATGCTTTGTCAGTAGGCCTATCCATCTGGTTTATAACCAGTGCCTGTCACAGTGCCTGACATACGGCAGGCACAGAGAACCCAGTGGTGAGTATCGAGAGAAGTCTGGAACATAGATGTCTTCAGGTTAACATCAGTGTGCATTCGAGTTGGAAAGGGAACAGGAAAAATATCCTTTTAAATGTTAATTAAATCATTACTAGGAAAAGAAATCGCCCTACTCACCCTGGCAAGCAGTCGCCACAGATGGCATCGCTGGTGGCTGAACAATTTGCCTTCTGAAAGCGGTTCACCAGCGCACAGTCCAGACACGGCTTGCATTTCTGGAAGCCCCAGTCTTCCTTGAACCTGTGCGGCCGGCACGTCATGCACTGTGCATCCTCCCCATAGCCGAAGCCACATTCCTGTGGGGATTAACGGGCAATAGAGAGCTATTCAGACCTCGGATCGTGAAAAAGGAAAGACCGCTGAGATGAAACAAAGACCTGGTCTAATAATTACCAAGTGTCGGCCTTCCTACACACAAAGGCGGCTCTTTCAGCAAGTTCAAATGTGTCTTCCACTGCTAATAATCTCTCTTACTGCGGTAAGTATACTTAGTCATCCACTTTATTCAAGAAGCCACGAGCATGGGAATACTAAAGGGTCTCTCGGGCTCCCACTGCTGCATTATTGTCAGCGTATGGCAGAATTATGGCACTTTCCTCTTCTCCAATTAAGCCAGTCATGTGGATGCTCAGAAGCTAAAGCCAGTGAAACATTCAAGCACTTACTCACTTTTCAAGGCAGAAAATAAATACTTAGATATCAAGGGTGATATTTTCGAAAATGAGGATAACTGTGTAAGAAATTCACAAACTTATAAGCCTAGAAATCTATCCAATAGAGAGCTCCTTGAAATGTTTATCAATTTGGCACTTCCTGAGAGAAGAAAGAGTCCTACATATTTCAAGGATGCTAACTGGTTGTTGAGACAAACTCTACGGTACTAGAGGCCTCACACTTCTCTAGATTTGGACATCAGAACAGTACTGTTCTCCACGGATGGGCAAAACAGATGTCTTTTTGACCTACATGTGATCATTTCCACAAGTTCAAGAACTCAGTAGACTATAGCACATCATATAATGTAATTATAATGCAACCATAAAAAGAATGATGCGGATATGTGTTCATGACACTTCAAAAAATAAATTATAACACAGAATTAGAAGTATAATTTCATTGCCTTCAAAAGCATTCATAGTAAGTACCAACATTTATTGGGTGCTGTCTCTAAGTGGGAACTTTATTTTTTTTTAATTTTTATTTATTTATTTTTCAGAGCCAGGATCTTGCTACATTACCCAAGCTGATCTTGAACTCCTGGGCTCCAGTGATCCTCCCATTTCAGTCTCCCAAGTATCTGGGACTACAGGGATGAGCCACCACACCCAGTTTATACCAAGAACTTTATACACATTATCTCAATAATCCAGACAGAGGTAGTGTTTGAACCAGGGTTTGAACTCTAATCCCAGAGTCAGACTTCATAACCACTACACTACAGAGCCTGTCAGGTACTTCTTATGTATACATTACACATCCATAGGAAGATGTTTGAAAGATTCCATACTCACATGTTAGCACTGGTTATCTGTACTTAGTGATGGCTTCTATCGAACACTCGTCATTAAAAAAAAAAACCAGACAGCGGCTTAAGAGGAACAAGAGGGGTGCCCATGTAGGCAGCAGGCTGAGTGAACCCACAAAAGTGGGCTGGACTCTGCAGAGGGAGGAGGGCTCAGAAGAAATCTCTTAGAGCCTCAAGTTTCTTCATTTGTAAACCCTGGATGCTGGAATGCAAGTCCCAGCTAGTTCAAAATCCCCATTTTCGGCCGGGCGCGGTGGCTCACGCCTGTAATCCTAGCTCTCTGGGAGGCCGAGGCGGGCGGATTGTTTGAGCTGAGCAGTTTGAAACCAGTCTGAGCAAGAGCGAGACCCCGTCTCTACTAAAATTAGAAAGAAATTAATTGGACAACTAAAAATATATAGAAAAAATTAGCCGGGCATGGTGGCGCATGCCTGTAGTCCCAGCTACTCGGGAGGCTGAGGCAGGAGGATCGCTTGAGCCCAGGAGTCTGAGGTTGCTGTGAGCCAGGCTGACGCCACGGCACTCTAGCCTGGGCAACACAGTGAGACTCTGTCTCAAAAAAAAAAAAATCCCCATTTTCTATACAATTTATATATTTTAACTTCTTCATCCATATTTATATACCAAATCAACTAAGTAGTACTTAGTGGTGAAAAATTAAATCAAAACCAACCCAAAGGATAGTACTGCCTTTCCTTAATAAACTACTCAATAAAAGGTTCTAAGTGATCGCTTCAATCTAGATTTTTTTTACTAATTAACTCATTCACATTTTGGATGAGCAATATCTTCTTTCCTCCTCTCAATTATTCTGCCTGTCTTTCAAATGTACATCTTGGACACGTACAACAAAGAGCTGGGGGGAAGAAAAGTGCAAGGTCAACGTCCTTCTTAATCCTGAGTACTTGAGCTATACAATATTCTAAACCAAATGCACAGACAAGAGAGAGAGAAAGGGAGAAAAGCATTTGATTTAAAGAACTGATTCACAAATTAGAGTTTCTTTGAAATTGTTAACAGGGATTATCTCTTTTGGGGGAAGGGCAGGTTAGTAGAATTATGAGGAGGTGTTCAATTTTTATAATTCTGCAGTATGTAATTTAATTTTTGCAAAAGCATCTGTTATTCTTGTAATCAGGAGAACAATCCAAACACATATTCAAAAAGAACTTCTTTGGACATGTGCTAGGTCTTTGTGGGGAGGTCATTGTTACTCTGGCTCTGCGCTGCAACAGCTGTGTTTTTGCTGAGCGCTTTAGTTGCTGTGTGCCTGCAAAGGCTTTCTGTAAGCACGGAAGAGAGCCTCCCACTCCCAGAGTCTCCCGGGATCAAAACGCAGTGCACGTGACATTCTGGGGGTGGGCACCGCATTGTTCACACGCTAAGCATCTCCGCGTCAAAGGGTCATGCAAGAGCAGAGTGTTTCAAAATCATGCTTTGATCTAGGCAGCTTGAGACTGTACAAGTCTCATGTACAAGTTAAAACATGACAAAGAAGGAAAGAAAAAAGGAAGAAAGTAGAACGGAAAACAAAGAGAAAGGAAAACGCAGAGAAAGAGGTGCATTAACTGGAGTATATGTTGTCTGAATTCTTTTTTTCAAGCCAGGTTGATACAGGAGAAAAAGTATGTACTTTCCCACATTAGATCCAAAGACGCACGAGTCTGAATGTCAACTCGGCCACTTGGCCAAGTTATTCTGGGAACTTTCTGACCCTCAGTCTCATCGTCTGTGAGATGGGGATAATAATACCTGACCTACAGGGTTGTTGTGAGGAATAAAGGGAAAAACATATAAAGCCTCTAAATTCTAAATCAAGCACAGAGTGAGCATTCATTAAATAAATTTTACCTACGGATATTATTATTTCAGATTTTCTACAACCCAACAAACCAACTTTACTGATTCAAGTCTAATAAAATGTCATCGGGAAACAAGGGGCTCTTTAGACCCCGATTCCTTCTAGCTTACTTGAAAAATACCACCTCGCATCTAAAACATTTTTATCGAATAAAAATCTTTCCAAAATAAGTCACAAATCTTTTTAGTTAAAAGAAATTTTAAACAGCATACAAAGTATAATTTAACCTGCTCTCCTTGATTCCACGCTCATTGTGCTGTAATACTGGGCCCGGTGTGTGAACGGGCAGCTCTGCTGTTTGAATACCCCCGCCTGGCAGGCAGCTGTCACGCAGGGCCCAGCTGACTCTCCCTGTCTCCAACAATTCACTTCCTCTCTCCACTGAGAAACCAGATAAGTGATTCAAGCAGAAATGAACTTAAGAGAAATCTAAATGGCAGTTTTGAAGGTTTCATCTCTCTTGAAAAAGAACGCGTAGTTTAGCATGGGGAGGTCTTTGTGCTTATTTTTTGATTCCTGACTGTATTACAGAGTTTATACTGCACACAGGACCATTTGGACCAGGTGTTCTTGCCATATGTCATTCTGTGTCATTTACATGTCATTATATTTTGTGGAATGAGCATTTCATGACAGCATTTTCTGTTTGGTTGGTTTTGGTCCATTCTATTTGCATACCGGACCAAATCATGTATAGAAAGAAAACAAAACCAGGCTCCAAATGTGCCCTATTTTGCCTCTGTTATCTGGATATCAACTTACTATTTCTGCTTAGACTTGATATGTTTTGGTGGCAGCAACAGGAACGTGGGTTTGGGTGAGGGGCCGAGATAAAGCTTTGCATCCAATACTATTCACAAAATTCACAAACTTATTGAGCATATACCAAACACTCTTCCGGGAATGTTTATAGAGATTGCTGATTCAGGGAAATTTCATTTGAAATATATTTTCTCTGAAGTCTTTACCATTTTCAAAGAGATAATATTAGAAAACCAGCTTAATATTATTTTTAAGCTATTAAAAATAGCTTGCAATACAGTCTAAGAAATTAATGAAGTGACCATTACACGATGAATTAACTAGAAACCCTGAATTAATGAGAAATTCAGAGAAGTTATTTCCAAGGAATTAAATTACAGTATAGTGTCCATGGCAGCAACCACTTTTTGAGTTGATTGTCATATTTCGAATGCACTATAAACATAGACTCTGTAATTATTTGTAATCCAGGCTATAAAGTCAACAGCCTATAAATATTAAATTGCCCCCAATATAAATGTCTGCTTTGATGTTTTTATTTCATTCAGTAAACCAGGTGGTTAAAATGCCTTGAAATCTTCCCCATTAAAATGTTCAATAAATAACTACCACGGGGAAAAAGAAAGGCAAAACCGCCCGAAGGGAAACCCAGCAACCTCAGGCCTGTGGGGACATTGGTAAGCAGAGTGAGACTGTGTCTTTACAAATTTCTGCCCCACCCTGGCTGGAGACCACTTCTTTTTCCTTTTTATCACTTATATATTGAAAAACGACTACACAAAACTAGTACACCTTTCTTCCCATCCCGAGGCCCCATCCTCTTGCTCCCTGTAACCAGGCACGCACTAGTTAGTACCAGGCTTTGGGGTAACCTGCCCGAAACACTTCACTTGTGTGTGTCCGTGTGTAACGCTCTTCTGCAATGGTTTTCCCGCTCAAGGCATCTTGGAGAGTGCTCCACGTTGGCAGATGGAGCGAGTGCCCCATTGTAGGGACGCGGCTGGGGCTGTCCTTACTCATCACTGCACCCCAAGTGCTGGGAACAGAGCGCGGCCATGTATGTTTGGTCAATTGCATCTGCATTGATCCGAGGACCTAACTGTGCATCGAATGAAAACAGCATCAAATCTTTTGTTTTTCTCCCCATA